GTTTTTTCTTTGAAATTTTTGGAACACCGATATTTCTATGTTCTTGGATCCATGAATTGACAGCCTTAAGGCAACAATTGGTTTCATTAAATTTTGATCACTATTTGATTTTGAATATCTGAACAACATTTTTTACATTGAATTTAGAGTTAAGTCTTTGAACCACATTGAAGCCCCAACAGAAAATCCATGAGACTTTAAGATTGATGGCGAATTGAAACAAAAGATTTTCTCGAGATTTTAAAAATTGTTTTGCCTCTGTTTTGAAGTGTTCGAATCATTGATAAGTAAGATTGGGTAAAATCGTTTCATCAAATCCAAAATATTCGAACCATATTTGAAACCATTTTGAAAAGTTTGAAGGACAAGTTTTGTTAAAAAGAATAATCGAAAATGAGTCACTGGTCTAAAATAGAAAACATGAAATCAGACATTAATTGAAGTGAGATTCGAATGTTTTGTCTTTCGAAAAACACATTTTTTTCTTCCCATGGATTATGTCCCCAATCTTCATAAGACAAACAATTTTGAATAGAAATTTTTGAAAAATCAATTTGATTGGGTTTTTGAGGATTTACAGTACGAGTTATTGTGGCTGGTTTTGATTTGATAAGGATAGCCTCATAATAAACTCTTGATTTTTTGATATTTCGTGGCATGAAATGGAATTGAGAAGGAAACAAATCTTGAAACACTCATCTAGAGATGAATATATGTGCACCCATGAAGTTTCCATTTCAAAAACGGGTAATTGAATGGATTTTGTAAAGTAATGAAAAGCTTTAGATGGATTGATTTCTGGTAGTTTGCTGGATCCAACTACATCCCTTTTGAAGTTCGAGGGTTTGATTCTTCTGGGGTAGTTTTATTTTGAGTAGATTTTTGAAAGGTCTTTGAAGCATGGGTTGTTTTTTGACAAGTAGATGAACTTGGTTCTTTTGAACCTTGAAGATAGTCACCTATGGACAATAGAGGTATTGAAGTCTTTTTCTTGTTCATCTTTTGAAAAGAAGAAGCCATTAATTTCTCACCACTCATTCACTCAATATGAGATTTCTTCTGTATGAACTCTCTTGTGAGAAATTCTGCAAGAGTATTTGATATGCCTTGTGTATATAGAATTTTGAAATCGAAACAAGATAAAATAGCTTGCCATCTTGTAAATATTTGTTTTGAAACAATATTTTTGACATTTTTTTGTAAAACGTATTTTAAAACTTTGCAGTCAATTTTCAAGATAAATTGTTTATTAATTAAATCATTTTGAAATTTTGAAATGCATAAGATTATTGATAAAAGTCAAATGTGTCTGTCTCGACAATAATGTATGCTAAAGGATCAATAATTGAGAGGCAATGGATTTTTTGTAGCTGTTTTAACATTTTGAACAGCTAAAGTGTGTTCGTAACTCCATAGTAGGAGATGCTTTTGCAGCCTTTGAAAAAGTGGAGCACATAATAGCCTTATAATTTTTACAAAGTTAACAACATAATTGACATAGCCTAGAAAGCATTGTTGACTATTTTTATCTTGAATTTGATCTGAAAATTTATCTGCAAATTCAAGACTTCTTTGAATTGGAATAAGTGTTCCTAGATGTATATGATGTCCTAAGAACCTTATGCATGTTTCACAAATGACAACTTTGAATAAATTAAAATATCATCGATATAAACAATAATGAAATTTTGAAAAAGATTAAAAATATCATTCATAACTTTTTTAAATTCGTAAGGAGCATTTTTGTTCAGTTATGAAGTTTTTTGTTCATTTGAGCTATTTGAAGTTCATGAGAATTGAATGTGTCTATTGTTTTAAATGCAGATGCATGATCTTGATCAATTTCTTCCTCATCATGAAAAGTGTTTGAAAAATTATTAGATCTACTTTTTAAACTATTTGATCTCTTAAACCAATAAGACATTAAAGATATAAATGATTAATATGAAATTACAATGTCATACCACAGTAGATGCAATGCTAAAGGATAGATTGAATCCAATTCAACCTACAATGAGACCATCCCATGCTCACTCGGCTTCACAGGCTACCCAACTATTTGGATGAATACCAAAAATACCGGGTTCAAAGATCAAGAGAAGCACTACTTCAATTATGTTTGTCACATCAAAAGTTATTCATGTCAGCATTGCCGACAATCAAAGCTAATGGACAAACTTTAATAAAGAATCTTTCGACGAAAATCTAGTAAGATCTCTGAAGTTCGATCTTGAAGAAGAGCTGGAGTTCCAATAAAATGTTTGAGAATTGAAAATATAGTAGTATTGAAACCATCATTTTAATTACTTGTAGCTTGAACGATTTTGTTACGGTCTTCATAAGCAGTGAGGTAGTTGTTATATATATATATTTGGAGACGGCAATTGTATCAAATAATGGAGGATTCTAGTGGAAAAACACGAGTCTTGCTAACATGAGGATTCTCAATGTATTGAAAGAAACTTGTCAAAGATTTGCAAAGATACTGGTTGGTTAGACCAATCAATTCAGCTAGTTTGAGCAAAATTCGGTTGATTCAAGATGATCAATGTCGATTGACTATGCTGCCAACTTTATTGGATGAAGATTTCGTAATAGGGTGAAGAGATGTCTCTCCAATTTACTTTATTCTTGTTCTTAAATTGACATGTGGCCTAATTTGTCACGATTTAAATTGAAAAATGGAATAATTTTCTCAGCTCTGAAATATTCTTTCGAAATAAAGAAGTAAAAGTACTTTACAAGATTTACTTTCCACTTTCTAAGCTCTGAAATATTCTTTCCAATTAAAGAACTAAAAATTATTTTACCTTCCATTTTTCAGTCTAGCCAAACAGACCCTTAATTCTAGTCCTTGGTAAAATTTTCAATAGTGGTCACTCAACTTATATGGTCAAATTCATGTTAGTCATTCAACTGTAGTTTATTTAAATTTAATCATTAAACATATGTTCTTGTCCTATCTCTAAATTGTTACCAAAAGTGACGAAGACTCCGTGATTTGTCTTTTGGAAGTACAATTATTTTAGGGCTTGAAGTTACAAATTTCATTTTTATAAAAAAGAAATTAAAAGTCTTGAGTCTTCTCTTACATAGTGACAAATGACATTTAGCTCCTATTCGACGATCGTCATTTCAGAATCTTTAATCATACTCCTTTTCAACTATATATTTACAAAATAAAATATTTTGCACTTAGTCACTTACACTCAATTTTTTTTTTTTTTTTACTTTCTAACCACCGATTTTCCAAAATTCAAAACTCAATTTTTATAAAATAATGATCATCAAACAAGAGCTTGTTTGGGAGGAATTAAAATCTAATTAAAATTGAAAATATAGCCGTTATTGAGTCTCACTCGTCTAATAAAAATCAACAATAACGACTAATTTTTCAATTTTAATCTTTACCAAATACACTCTAGATGCATTCCTATCAAAAGTTTCACTAGATAGACAAATTACATCAAGTCTACATTGTCAGATATTTTGTCGATTGAAATAGAACTGAGTTTAGTCATAAACGTAAAATAAAAATATAAGATTACGTAATCAAATTAAAAATTAAATGACCAGTTTGAAATAAATCGATAAACAAGGTGACCTCCATGAAAAATAAAAAATGAAAAGTAACCAAAAATGAACTTTATTTTGTTTAAAATTTATTTCTTACTTTATTCTTATACTCCCTTCTTCTTCGTCTTCTCTCTAGCCCTTTCTTGAATCAGATTCAAATCCGAGCTTATAATGCGGATGAGTCTCTTTCGGTTGGTGGGTTTGTAAAAATTGACTGAATTTTTGGGTTTGAATATACATATACATATATACATACATGTAGATGTGGGTTTTCAAGAATTTGTATTCCTGAGGTATGGATCTCGATCTGCTTTTCTGAACCTTCAATTTTTTGGTTATATAGGTACCTAAATGTTTCAAATATCTGTTCACATTTGATTATCTTTTTGAATTTTAACAGTGTTGGTTTTCGAAGAGTTGAATATTGTGTGGATTCAATTGAGTTTGGGATTTCTGGGTCTTCCTCATTTATCTATGCATTTATTTTTCCTTCTCTGTCACAGTTTAGTTTTATTTTGAGGGTGTTAAAGAGTGGTTTTTTGTTAATTTTGATGATTTTCGAAAGGGTAAAGTTTTGTGCAATTTTGGCCTTTTGGATTTCTGAGCTTTTAGTTCAAAAAAATATTTATAATTTCTATGGTTCTTGCAGATCTCCGAAGAAGCTATGAAGCTTGGATTTGCTTACAGCCCTTTTGGCAGGTTAGCTACTTTTTTCTTGGTTATACCCTTGAAGTTTTTTTTTTTAATTATTATTTTGTTTTTTTAATAAGAATGATTTTTTAATTTTCTTTAATTTATTTTTCGGTCCAAAATATAAGTTTCAGAGTTACATCTGAAGCTCCAAAGATTATTTCCTTATCTCTATGATTTAGCTTTATATTTGTAGGTGCTTAGTACCAAACTTGCATATCAGTATTGTAGTTATGTGGCTAACCGCTAACAAATTCCTTTTGAGTCTATATTAATACATGGGTAGATATATTTCCATAGAGACCAGACATATTTTATTAATGTTTGGATATAATTCTGCATAAAGTTGACTTTGCTTGGGGCAAGTGGAAATATGTAAACTAAGTTCACTTTAAGAACTTAAAGATAAGCTGTATCCAACAAAAGTTATGTGATTGAATCTACTTTATTGTCCATGTGAAGCTGTCTTTTTCTAATTGCTCCTTTTCTTTTTCTGTTCTTCTCCTTTTTTCTATCTATAAATGCCTTTTCTTACGCACCCTTTTTTTCTTTTCTTCTTGGCTATATATTTTTGTCTCTGAAAATTATTTACTTTTGCTCATTTGCAGACAAAAATAGATGTACGTGGGGATTTAATTTATTGGGAAACAGACTTTTGAAATACTGCCAAGGTCCAGAAAAGTGACTGATATTAGTTTAGACATCTCCATTCCGGTTTACCAGTTTGAGGTTAGATGTCGTTCCGCAGCATAGCTCGGGATATACGAGATAGTTTTGGGAGCTTATCCCGGCGTAGTTTTGATGTAAGGCTGCCTGGTCATCATAGGGGAAAATCTCATGGATCATTTCATGATTTAAATAACAAACCTGTGGTAATTCAGAATAGTCATTGGGCTAATCTCCCACCGGAGCTACTTTACGATGTGATTAAAAGGTTAGAAGAGAGTGAGAGCACATGGCCTGCTAGGAAGCATGTGGTTGCTTGTGCGGCTGTTTGCAGGTCATGGAGGAGCATGTGCAAGGAAATTGTCATGGGTCCAGAAATCTGTGGGAGGCTTACTTTTCCAGTTTCTTTAAAAGAGGTGACTTTGCACCCCTTGTCCTGCTCTGGTATTGTGCAAAAGTTTTTAAAACATTTTTGCCTCTGTTAATGTTGTTTAGTTACCTGTGTTTTACAAGTATATGCATTTTCTGACTGGTTCTATGAAAAAAAATACTGAATCCTGCTTATTTTCCTTTGTAGCCTGGGCCTCGTGATGGAACCATCCAATGCTTCATCAAGAGGGACAAATATAATTTGACGTACCATCTTTTCTTGTGTCTGAGTCCTGGTATGTATTGTCTAGACCTTCCGAAGCTAATTATGTATTAGTAGTATTGGGTGTTTAAATGGTACTGCATAGTCAATCTAACCTTTGTATCGAAGATCTTTATAATATCATGAACACTTGCTATTTGATAAATTACAAGTATTTGTATTTTGCGCCATGTTAGAAGGTGCTTCCATAGACACGCATGACTTTTTTTTTTCAAAAAGAATTATTTGTTTGACTACAAAAGGTAGATGATATTATGTTACAAACTGAGAAAGCGAAGTTAGGTTGGTCTCCCAATTCATTTTACAATCTAACATCATATATTCATATACAAACAAGTAGGTAATAAATTTTATGCACTTTAGAGGCACAAAATGGCCCACAGAATGGCTATCCAATTAGTCTTGCAAAGCAAGACATAAGTAATGTGAAGAGCAATTTTTCTAAATAGATTATTTAATCTGGAGAATTTTCAACTCTATAATGATGATATCACAAATGTGCTACAATTGTTTTTTATGGAAACTCCCCTACTTGATATCCACTTGACAGTTATTGAGTAAAGTTAGCAGGAATATCATCTCTTCAAGAGCTGTGACTTTAGTACAGAGCAGTTCTGCGGTTAGAAGCATAAAACAATTTTGTTGGAACATGATCGTAAATCTTTCATTTTGAGATTCCTATGCTGTTGACAAAGTAGTAGTTTTCCATATCAGCATATTATGTGGTCTAATTGCATTGCCAATTGTTATCATGTAACTGGTTTATATGATTGGATAGAAGGCTACGAAGAAAAATAATATCATGAACTGAACCTTTTTAGTGTTTGCACTCCCTTCACCTCTGCCCATTTGTTCCTGTTCTCATGTTAGTTGCAATTTATTTTTATCAGCTTTGCTAGTAGAAAATGGAAAATTTCTTCTCTCTGCAAAAAGAATTCGACGAGCTACTTGTACAGAATATGTTATCTCAATGGGTGCAGATAATATTTCTAGATCAAGCAGCACATATATTGGAAAACTAAGGTAACATTGAAAATAATTTTTGTTTTTATTATGTTATATATCTATCTTTCTCCCTTGTTAGATAAATTTTTCTTGTGGGCATTCTATTATATGTCTTGAGAATATTTACTGGAGAAACAAGTTTCTAATGGGGATACATACTGGACTTTATATTTGATATTCTACTTATAGGAATTTCTTATCTAATTCGGAAAAATAATGATTGTTTCTCCCGTGTTGAATAGCGTTGTACAGTTTTGTTGGTTATTAAGTTCTTTTGAGAATGCATACAATAGGATAAAACTAGGAAATCATTCAAATGTAAAAATAAAATTAAAAAATTGTGTTTAAAAAAATTCATATTGAATGCTTTCTGGGATATGTATCTTCTGGCATGAAGAAACATAAATTAGTTACCAATAATCAATTAATGTAACTTTAAGAGGAACAAAAGATCTATTAAATAAAGAACCAAGCAAAAGAGCAAAAGGGCATAAGAGTAACATTAGAATGCACAAGACAAATGGAAATTATCATACTTCCTTTGCCATGTGCTAAAGGTGGATGGAAATTCATATTGAAGCAACTTTACTAAAATTGGTTATTATATTATTTTTTTGAAAGTTAATATTAAATAATGTTGCAAACAACTCAATGGTACATTATTTAAGGCCAAGGGCAAGATACATAGAAGTTTTCTTAGAAGTGCACAAGCAAATGAAATGAATTATCTTTATATATTTGCCTGAATTATGCTTGACTTGCACAATCTTGGTGAACTTAATTGTTGCCTGTGTACTCTCAAAATTCAGTTAATAGGGTTATCGTTTTTATTATTGGTTTTTAATGTGCAAAAAATGTATGGATTCAGTAAAATCTGCACTTGTATATTTAAACCCTGTTTGAGCCCCATTTTTGAAAGAAAATGTGAATAGTGATTTTTTTGGAGAATGTATAGTTAAAAAATAAGGAAGATTTTTTGGTTTATGTGTAATATTATTTATGGGAGAATGTGTGGTTAAAAATGAGTTTTGTGAAAATGAGTTTTTGAAAAAATGGGGGCCAAACATAGGCTTATGTATCCTGGAGCCTTAAGATGTGATCTTTTGTTTCGCCCCCTAGGCCCCAAGTACTTGGTGCTAAACTTGGCTTACCGTTTCAAATTTCAACTTCGTCCTAGAAAAATAGGGTGTAGTTGACTAGGGACACCTTGTGCTCCTTATCGGCGTGCTTTTACTTCAAGGTCTTGATTGTATATATGCTCAGTTTATGCTTTAGAGATTGTTTGGGAGAGATTTTTGGGGGAAGAATTGATTTTGAATAGTGATACGATGGGAAATGTGTGGTTGAAAAAGAAGAAAAAATTATTGATGTGATGGAAAATATTATTTTATTGAAGAATGTGTGGTTGAAAATGATAATTGATTTAGTGTAGAAAAATTTAATTCCTCCCAAACAGGGCCTTATTCAGGAGACTGATGCTTTTACTTTTGTGTCCTTTTGTAGTATTGGTCTTGAATAATAATAATTTAGCTTTCCTCAATACTAAATATTACTGCTTGTTGCAGATCAAATTTTCTCGGCACGAAATTTTTAGTGTATGATACACAGCCTCATACTTGTTCACATGTCCCTCCACCTGGGAAAACTAGTCGTAGATTCAACTCCAAGAAAGTGTCTCCCAGAGTACCTACTGGTACCTACACCATAGCCCAAATCACGTACGAACTAAACGTGCTTGGGACACGGGGACCTCGTAGGATGAACTGCATCATGCACTCAATACCCGCCTCAGCACTTGATCCCGGAGGCGTGGTCCCCGCACAACCTGAACTCATGCCGAGGTCCCTTGAGGACTCGTTTCGGAGCATTTCTTTCTTGAAATCTTTTGAGCACTCGACTGAGTTCAGTAGCTCACGGTTTTCTGATATTGCTGGCGTGTGCAATGAGGAGGACGAAGGTAAAGGAAAACCCTTGATTCTCAAGAACAAGGCACCAAGATGGCACGAACAATTACAATGCTGGTGCCTCAATTTCAGAGGACGGGTGACAGTTGCATCGGTCAAGAACTTTCAGTTGATCGCCTCCACACAACCACCGGCTGCTGCCACTAATGCACCGGCTTCTCAGCCAACCCAATCTGACCACGACAAAATCATCCTCCAATTTGGCAAGGTCGGTAAAGATATGTTCACAATGGATTACCGATATCCCCTATCTGCTTTTCAGGCTTTTGCAATCTGCTTGAGCAGCTTTGACACCAAATTAGCTTGTGAATAGAGAAGATGCATGAATAGACAAATTCAGTGCCTTTATTCTCGTCATTGTATCTTATTCTACTCTTCACACGAAATGGAGATTGTTTTTAATATCTTTATGGTTCTGCTGTAGAACTAGATTATAATTTCTACCTTTGTACTCGTGGCAGGGTTTTTACCTTCAAAAAAGAAGGGGGGGGAGGGGGGGTGGGGGGGTACTGCCTTATCTGTCTTCATATTCTATTAACAGTTTTATAGTTACATTTATCATTATGGATGTGCTTGAGTTCAGTTCCAAATAGAACTACACCAAATCAAATCGAGAATTGTTTTATGCTTGATTTGAGATTGTTTTTATAGTTTGAACTTCTGCTTTTCAAATAAGTACAGGTTTTTTAGGTAATTGATAAAAAAAATGATTATGAAGTAAAATGACAGTTATTCATATTTTGTTTTTAGCTTCTTAAATTATTCATTATTAAAAACAATTTCAACCCATCATTAAAATTAATTTTACTTATTTTCAAGAAATCAGATTACTGGTTCAATTCCTCTCAGCTTCTAGCAAACTTTTTGAGTCCCTCCAGTTGTCGGATCTATCAAGGAACAATCTGACATATAATTGGCCACTGCCAATACTGCTACACATTGCAGATATTAATAACCAACATAAATTTCAGAGTCAATTCGTACGAAATAAAGCGTTAATAGATTAATAGAACCTTCATTAGGGGTGGGGCATGGTCGGGTTCGGTTCTCTCATGTTATAGCTTTATTTGTCTCTGTTAATCTGTTGAATTTAAGACACTTCGAATTATGATGAAGGTTGATGTAGAAGGTTAGACACACTATCACTATCACCATCTACATCAACCTTCATGATCATATTCATACAATCCTCTGCAGTTCTCCTAAGCCCAACTGAAGCCAACTAGCCAAGCCCGATTTTAATCCATCAAAGGTGATAAACCCATCACCATTTTTATCAAATACATTGAATGCATCTCGTATAAAAAATATACTTGCAACAACAAATCCAATGATTTTAACAAAAAATGTTAGTTGGAACTAAGAAGGCAAGTAGAAGTGATATCAAAAAAAGACAAAAAGTTGGAAAAAAAATTCTGAATTACCTCGGTTTATTCTCTCCATGTCAACTAACTGAGCAAATCGTCGTTGTCGGGCCTTCTGAATTGGGGTTAGGGTTCACACAATTTGGAAATCGAAGAATTGAGAGATGAAAATGGTCTCTGTGATGGATCTCGTTTTTCTATATATGGTTTTGATCTCGTGCTTTCAAATTTAAATGGAGTGTTGGGGAGATGACAATTAATTACGTGGCATTTAATTTTGAGTTGGATTTATTTAACGGCTACTTGTGCAAAACCATCATCCACGTAGGCGATTGGCATAGATGGGAGTCGCCTGATGAGTGATGAAGTGCAATTTTACAAAGTTTAATGAGTAATGGAGTGCAAACTAATGTACATGGAGCAGAACGTGACATTGTGTAAAGTTCAGTGACTATTCAAACAATTAACTGCCTCATGAGTTATGACACGTGTTTCTCTCTCTTTTTTTCTGCATTTCGTCTTCTTTATATATACTCTTCCTCTTTTTCTGAGCCTTGGAACTTTTGTCAGACCAAAGGCGGGCTTCAGATCCTTCGCTGGGTTCCATTCTGTTTCCTCTTTCCTCCCTCAAATCTTCCAACTTTTCCCTTTAATATATTTACATAAAATAGACAACTTTACTCATCAAGGTTCAATCTTTCTTTAATTTTCTTCTTGTAATTGTAGTTTTTGATTATATGATATTTGGACCCAACCCTTGATTTCTTTAATTTTTTTGATCCCTTTGCAAGAGATGTGTTCTCGAGACAATTCTTGATCTGGTTTTTGCATGTTGTCTAATATTCTTGGATTTTGAGGCTTTTCAACAATCTCGATCTTTGTTTTGTGAATTATAAGATTAGTGATTATTCTGATTGTATTTGGTTGGTTTTAGTGGATGTTCTTGATTTAGTCTGTTATACTGTGGTTTTGGTTGTGTTTTCGCGAGCCACCTATTTAATTATAATGGGATGTTTTTATTCATGGAGAAAACATTCGGTTTGAAGGGGTGTTGTAAACTATTATAATTTAGGATTTCATTGAAAAGTTGAAACTTCATGTTTTTCATAGAGAAATTCGTGGGTTTTGCAGATTTTAATCTGGGAATTCAGTTGAGAAAGAAAGTGGTGCTTATAAATTTATAGCTGTTGGTTATTGGATTCTGAGAGTGTTCCCTGATACTGAATTGAGGTTTATCTGGTTTAAATACAGCTGGGCTTCCATGTTTCTTGATTAGAACACTTCCTGAAGTAGTTTGAGGGTGTTTGCTTTGAAAATGCCTTCATCAGATAATCAAAGTTCTATGTCCTTTGTTTCTTTTCGTCGACCAATTTTGGGTATTAGAAATGATCATATTCACTCCTTGGGATCAATCCATGATTCTAGTGTTCAAGAGGTGGATTCATTTCAGAGTCATGTTTTCACCCAGTTCAAGGATCTCTCTGCAGTTAGTCCTGACGAACTTCTTTCCATATCATGGATTCAGAAGCTTTTAGATGCATTCACTAGCTGTCAGGAGGAGTTTATGGTTATATTGTCCAAGAATAAAGTTCAGCTCTCAAAACTGCCTGCAGATAGGCTTGTTACCGAATTCTTTGATCGGGCAATTAAGGCACTAGATATTTGCAATGCAAGTCGTGATGGTATTGAGAAGATTCGATTATGGCAGAAGCATTTAGATATCATTTCATGCGCTTTGGGTGCTCAACAAAGGATGACAGGTGAAGGTCAGTTTCGTCGTGCTAGAAAAGCCTTGATGGACTTGGCACTTGTGATGCTAGACGAGAAAGATACGGGAGGTGCTTTTTCGAATAGAAATCGGTCATTTGGGCGCCATAAGGGTAAGGATCATCGTCATCGTTCATCAGGCCACTCAAGATCGCTATCTTGGAGTGTGTCTCATTCTTGGTCAGCATCGAAACAACTCCAGTCAATTGCAAACAATTTGGCTCTACCCCGTGGAAATGAACTTGCAGCCACCAACGGTTTGGCAATGCTCATCTATACTATGAGCTTTGTTCTTATGTTCGTTTTATGGGCTCTTGTTGCAGTAATCCCTTGTCAAGACCGTAGTATCCAAATTCCTTTTGCAATCCCACGACAATTCTCTTGGAGTGCACCATTTTTCTTGCTTCATGGTCGGATTATGGATGAGTCTAAGAAACGAGAACACCGAAACTCTAATGGATTGTTGAAGGAAATTTGTCAAATAGAGAAGTGTGTACATCAGATAACGGACTTGGTCGATTCTGCTCAGTTCCCACTGACAGAGGAACAGAAGGAAGACATGAAAGAATGTGTGCGCAAGTTGTCATTAGTTTGTGAAGTTTGTAAGAGTGGATTGGATCCGCTCGAACACCAGTTAAGAGAGGTCTTTCGGAAGATTATGAGTTGTCGTACTAAGGGTCTCGAGTTCTTAGGCAAGACAACCCAACCTTAGTAAGTCGAGCCATTGAGCTGTGTGGGATGAAGTGAAATTGAAAATTCCTTATAATCTTTGTTTGTATATTTCAAGGGAAGAAGTCAGATTGTGACCGACGACTATATTTTTAGCAGGTAGCTTTTTGTACTTGTCCATACACATTTTTTAAAACAAAAACGTAGTGTCCGTGTTGTTCATCCTGTTTCAAGGCTGTATCATCAGATATGGCTTCATTTGCAATTATTTTTATGATGCGTTCATCAGATATTGATTTCAAATGATATGGTACTTTTCGTAAAATCTCTTTGGTTATATGCTTTCTTAAAGAAATTTGTTTGGTTAATTGGATTCCCAGGTCTAGAGTCTCCGTGCTCATGTAAGAGTGTGCATGTATGTTTGGAGGTGCTCGTGTGCATGTTTATTCAGGTGATATGCGTAAGCACATAAGGACGAAGCAGATATCTATTGTTTCGTTATGGTCAAATTTTAGTTCATATAACTTGTCCTGTTGACCATCCCAAATGCTGTGTGCCTTTCTACTGCTTTTTGACACAAAGTCTGGATAGAGTTAAAAATCAAGCTATTTGTGCAGGACGAGCACCAAATTTCCTAACAAGAATTGTTATAAAGTTTGCTATCCCAGCGGTTAACTTCTTTTGTTTGGTGGAGGATAAATAAATGTATAAATATGTAATTAATCTGTGAACAAGTTGTATAATTTGGGAGACTCCAACACGTACAATACGGAGCTTAACATTGGCTACAAGAATATTACGAGTTTCTTTTCTTGGTGACTGGCCTCTTAATTGTCATCTTACCTGGATAAAAGTGTCCAGATTGTCCTATTCTGCGAACATTGCCCTTTTACTGCTTTTAGGATGCTGAAGCAAAGCCTATATATGCACTAGATGGTTATCATATGTGGATAATAAATCGTTGAGTTTCTTGTACTCTATATCACCAGATCTATTTAATTATTTTAGTAATGTTTGTATTTCTTTTCGACATTTGATTATTTCGTACTTCAGATTTTTTTTAATGACACTCATTCTCATTCACTTCTTTCTTTCGCATCAAATGTGAAAATTAGAAAAATTACTTATTTGCTCATCAAATTTGTGTTCGCTTTTAAAACTTTCTAAATGCTCTTCAGTTCTTACTTCAGGATTTCTAACCATGCTTTCATTTTGAGTAGATGCTTGTGTACCTGGTATATTTAGTCTCTACGGCAAGTCATAGTACCTTCTACATTTTTGCTTCTATTTTACTAATTCAAATCAAGGAATTAGAGATAGATTGTTTGTCGTTTGAAGAACATGCACGCGAAATACTTGGGTAGAATAAGGGAACAACGAAAAGAAGAAGTTGCACGGGAAGTGGCATTTACATATTTTGCTTGGATTTGTGAGATACTTCTTGGTTAGTGCTGGTTTCTGTAAATTCCTCTCTATGTCAAGTTGTAGAAGTTTTGTGGTGCCTTCTGTATTTCTTTTAAGGAAAAAGATAGCTAAAAAATTGTTCAGTATACTCTAGTATTGCATACTTGGTCTCCATGGAGGCAGCAAGTATAATTTGTGCACCCCTCAGGTGCTGGTTTTTCGGTACATGTGATTGCATAGTGTTGCGTATTCATATCGAAGAACTTGCAAGCATTTGCATGCTTTCTGTGATTGGTTCTAAATACAAAATTTGAGGCTGTTTCATGAATTTCATGTGTGGACCTCTTAAGATGAAGTGAGCAACAAATTCTCCATTTATAATTCCAAGTAAACATGTCTACTTCATTTATTGCAACTTGTATATTTATATTTTCTTGATTATCTTTGAAGAAAATGAGAAATAATTGTGTGGCAAGATCGTGAAGTGCACCTTATCCTAGAAATATGTATGGTTTTTTTTATTTTTTATTTTTTGGTTAAGATGAATAGCACTGTCTAATCCTATCGTGTTTTGCTACTCTCACCAAACATGCATTTATTGCACATGGCTTGTGTGGCCGTCATTGAAGGGCAAAGTAGTTAGAATCACTCAGCATCGTGCTGCATGCATCAAGAATGAATGGGGATACCAGCAGAAATATTCGATATATGGTTCGTATTTCAGTTGAGCTGGTGCTATTGTTGCCCACACGTACGGTCGCCCTCCACTCCCTTCCCGGGACACAGCAATAAAAGGTCACAATAATTCCACGGCTAACCTCACATTATTGCATGACAGTAAGTTGGGTTGACATTTATTAGACATTTATCTTAGCCCCCAACTTTGCTTGATAGGTGATGAAATGGGTATGTGCACACAGACACTGCATTCAACCTGGGAATCACCACAAAATGAACCATAAGCCAGCACACATGCTAATGCTTGCATATAATCCACTAGACAAGTGAAATCTTGTTTTGATTGGCCATCGAAAGGTTTTGAAATCAACGAGTTTAGTGCTCAGTATTTGAAAAGACGAGCAGTTTAATAGATGTTTATATATATCTTTTGTTAAGACAACTTACGAAAAAGACATTCTTGATAGGTTCGTTATGTGCTAATTTTTAAGTTCTTCTTTGATTTTAATAGATTTTGATAAAAGTTGATGAAATTGTGATTTTTATAAAATAGATGATTAAAAATGAGCTTTAAAAAAAAGCCAAACAGGGCACATATGATTCTCTACTATCTCTTATCATTGAGGACCAAGGCAAATAAAAATAAATAGTTAATTGATCTAAAGTCGAGAAAATGTACGGAAGGTTGAGTAATGCTTCTGAGGCACATGCTTTGACTTGGCATTGAGCCTTATTTTTTTGGAGTTTGTAGATTTTGAAATAGTAATTTTTGTAAAATGTGTGGTTAAAAAGTAGAAGAAAATTTTAAATTTACGTGTAAAATTATTTAATTGAGAAAATGTATGATTAAAAATGAGTTTTGAAAAAATAGGCTCAAACAAAAGCCAAGTGATGTTTCTTAGCTCCTGTTTGACAACTATTGTTTTGGGAAAACAAAGTTTTGAATCGTGATTTTTTAAGAGGAGGAAAAAGCTCCGAGTATAGGGGTTGACAGAATTCCTACAGATACTGTCGTGGCAACATTTGATTCGTCTGTTTTTTTTCTTCCATCTTCCAATGAATCCTTATCATTTGTTGTCTATAAAAATTCTGTCAAAACTTTTTGTGCTTGTAGTACGATTGTTAGGAAAATGTGTGGTTAAAAAGTAAGAAATTTTTTTAATTTTACGAATAAAATATTTTATTGTGTGAATGGACGATTGAAAATTAGTATGTTAAAAAAAACTAAAAATAATGGTTATCAAACCAGGGCTTAATGAGATTCTATATTTCATATTTCTACTAGAAAATTACTCAACTCCAAGTACTTAATCTCAATTGAAATTTCAAGAATATATATAAATATTTATTTATTATTGTGAGAGGTAATGAAGGTGACACGTATAAATTACAGAGGTTATAATTGCGTCATACATGTTATCAAGTCACAATTTTTATATCACAATTACGCATACCTCTGAATTCCAAATGTTTTCGTACTGTGATACGCACAATGTTTTCGTACTGTGATAAGCTCACAACTTAATAATATGATAATTGCATGAGAAAACAAGACTGCAACAATAACGTAACTTTCAAGATCACCAAATACATAGTTGTTGATGCAGTAACAAATGAGAGTGCAACCATAACATAACATGTGACTTCTGATTCAGTTTCAAATGCACTATTCTCTTGCTGGCTCGATAAATATGCCATTGGTATAGATTATAGCCTATTTCTGCGGTCGTCCGGCTGCGGCTATGCAGTAAAGCTACAGTTCTGTAAAAGATTTCTTTATCTACAACACTTAACTTAGCAAATTGACTGCACATATGCAGCTGATACCTACTAAACATATCCATCTAAAAATCAGCTTAGATCACTTACAGGCTTCAACAGCTACATTCGGCTTATCTCGGTAGAAAGTTCACTATCAAATCGATATCCAACCAGATCTTTTTCCCGGATCAGAATGTCTTCCAGCGACATTACTAAAACTCCAACAGTTGACAATTAACTAGTTTCTTCTGTATTTATTATCAATCATAATTTCGAGACTACCTACAAGTTCATGGAACGCACTCTCCTCAGAACCCTTGGAGATCTCTTCCCCTCTACCACTGGAATCAAGTTCTCCATGAGCTGCACGTAAAATAAAAATAAAAGGAAAGGAAAGGAAAAAAGGTTAAAGCAGCAGTAAAGAATTCAATATATGTTGTTTGAAATGAATGGAAGTAGTATTGACTTCCATGATAGAATTGCATATGTAACCCAAGTAGGGGCATGGGACATCAGGTGATACTGACATCTCATCCGTCTAAGACACAATTCAAAAAATTAAGTGCCAATCTTAAAGGCCGGATAATTAAATTTCACATCTTAGCAGATGAATTAGTATTACCAGATCAATTAATTTCATTAGTAGATGATATTAATTGTCTACAGCACATTTTGTTCTATATATGATCAGGTATACACATTGAAAGCCTGAACCAATCATGAATAAAATCTCTCATAGCAGCACTAGAAAGAGTACAAGATTAGATGGAAGAGGCCAAAAAGGAGAATTGTGAGTACCAGCTAAAAACCACTCAAGCATTACTGATCGAATTTTGTAATACCTGTACCTATAGCCTAATTTTATTAAGTTATGTTTGGCCCGTTATAAAAAAAAAAAAAAGGAGGACACGATTAATATTTTAGCCCGGTCAGTTAAGTGAAAGTCCATTATGTGAAATGATAGCTCACACCTTTTGTTTTATTTTTCCTTTTAGGCTTAAGCCCAAGTGATTAAAATCTTATTTAGTTTTAATTAAATAATGAAAATAATGTTTTAATTTATCTCTTTTAATTAAATTGAAATTTTAAATAATTGAGATATAATCAAATTCCAATTCAGCTAATATGTTGATTTTATCTATATCTTATTTAATGTTAAAAGATAATGGAGATAATGTTTCAATTTTATATCTTTTAATTAAAATTGAAATTTTAAATTATTAAGATAATATTTTGAATTTATTTCTACTTTATTAATTTTAGAAATTATGGAGATAATGATTTTTTTAATTTTAAATTCATTATCTTATCGAGATAATGATAAGATTTTATCACTTCTAAAATTCAAAGTTCAATTGAATTAGAACTCTCAAAGCATGGTGGTCACATTTATTTCTATGTGAAATACATGTACTATATTCATTAGTATGTGGGTTAAATGTTGAAGTCCCAAATATATTTAAGTATTTTTCTTATCACTTCCACAAGATATAGGTAAGAGTATAAGTATTTTATCGGATTATATGCGTACGTTAGGTTTTTGAAACATTGATTATGGATCATTTATGTATGTTCTAAGTTTGGACTAGAATATAGTAGTGCTACGCATGAAAATTCCATATCACCTATGTTCGCTATAGATTTTCGTGTCTCACTATGTATGTATGTATATATGTATGTATGTATGTATGAAGTTCCTTAAATTTCGTACAATATTAATCCATGTACTTATATGCTTATTTAGATTTTATCGCACCCCCTCCTTGTACCCCTTTCAGGAAATTAATGGTTCGTGACAATCAAGACATGAGAGAACTGGCGAAGTGGCAAGTGAAAATAGACACACCAAGCTTACTTTTAGTGATTTAAGAACTTGATTGTTGATTTAGAAATTAAGACGACTAAAACTTCTAGTATTTTATTTATGCTTACTCTTTATGAAATGTATTATTTAATAAAATTTCAAGTTTTTGAAAGTGAAATATGGTGTTCAAAATACGATCTTAGTGACACTCGAATCTTTAGAACTCGGGTCGTCACAAATTTCCTATTTAGACCACAAATCAAACACTAAGAAGTTCATCTAAAAGTTCAGCTTGAGATAGCACTTAGCAGTGTTGCCTGGTAGAAATGCAGTATCTCAACTCAAATAGGATTGAAGTACATCGGCTATTAGCCTGGAGAATGCATCACGTCCTTGCAGAACTGATTAAAAATATATATGTTCAGAACCTACTATTCTATTGCATGATCTTATTTAACATCTAAACTTGTTACTTTTAAATTGACCAAAGCTCAAGACATACCATACAAGAAAATGTTCACAATTTATTTTTTTTTTGATAGGTAATCACGTAATTTTATAAAAAACTCAAACGGTAATACACAAGGAGTGCATTATCAGTTTAAACAAGATAGAAATAATAAAAAATTCGGCAACCCTTCTATCGGACTAATGGTTATAGCATTAAACCAACTATACAAAGTCAAATAAAACAATTCTCTAAATTGCTCTGTCGTCCGTACTTGGTCTTCAAAGCATCTGCCATTTCGTTCTCTCCACACACACCAAACAATGCATCCTGGAATGAGATCCNCCAAACGAGCGTGCTATTCTTATCACGAAACTTTCTCTTCTATGCCCACACGACCTCCTTGATACGCCTTTGCAACACCCAACTCATATGTTGCGAGGCCAGAATATCATTCCACATCCACCGAACACCGGCACAATGAATGAACAAATGATCGATCGTCTCGCCATCCCTCTTACACATATAGCACCACTCCGTAAGACAATAACCCTTTCTTCTAAGATTATCCGCCGTTAACACCTGTCCCCTCACAACCGTCCACAGTAAAAAAGCCACCCTTGGAGGTAATTTACTTTGCCAGACCCTTTGCCACGGGAATGAGCTCTCAACAGGTTCCAATAAGGATCTGAAATAAGTACGAACAGAAAACAAACCATTCTGTGCCGCCCTCCACCTGCTACAATCTTCCTCTCCCACTCGAATGTGCACATCATACA